ACACGTAAACGAACAATATTGTTCTCATCAGAAGGGGTTTTGTGGAGATTTTAGAAACTTCACTGGTTGAAATCATGAGTCAATTGAAGCTAGACCACCATGGAAAACCTGGATGGCCGTTTCGTCCTAGTATGGGACTCCTCAGCAGTGCGCATGCACGATCCCGCTCGCGGGACTCGAACCAGGGCCTTCGGTCTCGCGTGCAAACGCTTAACCAAATGGACCACTGAGCCGGCATCCAATGGTGATAGTGTCAACATCAATCGGTTCATGATCTCAATCAAAAACTTAATAATCTCCACAACCCCTATACTAGAAATAGATTATGTTATCGCACATAATAATGGGTAAAAGTACAAGTTGGTGATGTAATCTATTTCATTGTGATTATTAACTCAAATTGCCTTGATTAGTTTAACATTTTTTGTATATTAGAGTAAAGCCTGATAACAATCTAATTGAAAACACTATTGTTCGCTTACATGTTTTGTTCGAATTTTCACAATGGGAATCTTTAATATTTTATCTACTAAACAACCATAGAGGTGTAAATGAAAATGTACTTAAAATTCTAAAGTGATTAGCCCCTTTGATAAATGTGATGATATATAATAATATAAGAACATTTATATGTTAAAAATAAAAGGTCAACTAGACTACAAATGGGGTAAGAGGAGACAAAGATAATAATAATAAGAGTAACAATAACAATGTGAACACAATTTAAAAGCCTAGATCGCTTCAAAATCAATGTGTTTCAAATGATCCGATCAATGTGAGAGTTATAAAACCAGGTTCATCGATAGCGAAACTTGGGCACAAAATTGAAAATTAATACAGCTTTTAGAACGTTGTATAGAAATTGTCAAGAACGAATTCTCAAGTTTATTGAAGCCTTACTTACTTACTTTCGCCTGTTACTTCTAATGGAGCATAGGCCGCCGACCAGTATTCTCCAACCCACTCTGTCCTGGGCCTTCTTAACTAGTTCCATCCAATTCTTGTTCATTCTTCTCATGACTATTTCCATTTCCCGGCGTAATGTGTTCTTTGGTCTTCCTCTTCTCCTTTGGCCTTCAGGATTCCATGTGAGGGTTTGTCTTGTGACGCAGTTGGGTACTTTCCTCAACATGTGTCCTATCCACTTCCAGCGCTTCTATTGAAGCCTTGGCTATTCGTAAATTTAACCCCACCTCCCTTATATGTACAAAAACAATTTATCGTAACCTTAAATTTACCTTGGTAATCCTTAAATCATTCTATGGTCTAGGATAACGCGACAATTTTTTTATTCTTCCTCTCCCTCACCCTTTGTTATTTTACTTGAACTTTTATTTCACTGACCTTTATTAATTTTCATATAAAAAAATGCCTTAACAAGTATATGTGTGTGATCAGATTGTTCGAAATGTATAGCGCAAATACATCACATTTTCATTAGATCAACTACGTCTTTTCATTGTTCTATCTAAATTTATAAAAGAGACTAATTGCTTTAAAACTTAATCATTTTGGATAATAAGTCGGTATTACCAGGGTGGGAACAAACTGTTTTTGAATACACAAACGGGGGCTTAAAATTTCGTATATATAAGGCTTCAATAAACCTTAGTATTACGCCCTTTGACACTTGTACAACACCATAAAAGCCGAGTTAAGATCAATATTTTATGGCTTGTTTCAATTATATGTTTAAGATGATGGATGTTTATCATCTACTCTTTTATTGGGTCACTTGATATAAATGTTCTTAACAAGTATGTAATATGTGATCAGATTGTTTGAAATGTATTGCGCTAATATATCATCACATAGTTCTGATAATCTTCATCTTCTAATTACATTATCATAATAAAATTCCATCTGATATTGTCTTGTTAAAACCTGATAAAGGATCAGGCGTAGTTATCATGAATAAATGTGAATATAAAAGTAAGATGTTATCTATCCTTAGTGATGAAGTAAATTTATGCCTGATGTTGAATTTGGAGGTATCAGCAAACTAGAAAGAAGAGTAAATTCAAACCTAGAAAAATTGCTACTCATGAATATTATTAATAAAGAGGAATTTAACTTTCTAAAACCTATGGGTTCCGAGTACCCTCATTTATATGGACTGCCTAAAATTCACAAACCTAATGTTCCTTTACGTCCAATTCTATCAATGTGCAGATCACCTACACATAATCTGGCTAAATGGTTAGCAAAGTTGTTGGATCCTATTCGAAGACATCTATGTAAGTATTCTCTAAAGGATTCTTTTGAACTGGTTGATCATTTAGATGATATTAATATCAAGGAAAAGACAATGTGTTCATTTGATGTAAATTCCTTGTTTACAAATGTACCTTTAAAAAAACCATTGATATATTATGTGATTACATATCTGAAAACAATTTTCAATCACGTGTACCTGTAAAACTTCTTAAAGATTTACTATTACTATGTACTGACAAAGTTCAGTTCACTTTTGAAGGTGAATACTTTCGTCAGATTGATGGAGTTGCTATGGGTAGTCCGCTAGGACCATTACTAGCAGATGTGTTCATGGCACATGTTGAAAATCAGACTGATGAATTAATCGGAAACATGTCACTTTATAAGAGATATGTGGACGATATCTTAGTTGTTTGTGAGAAAAAAGAGGATATGTACGGTTTATTAAATAAACTCAACACTCTCCAAAACCATATTAGTCTCTCATGTGAAGAGGAGAAAAACGATCAGCTTCCCTTCCTAGATATACTCCTGAGTAGACGAGAAGATGGTTCAGTAAAGCGATCTATTTTTAGAAAACCAACGTGGACAGGTCAATATCTTAGTTATTATAGTTATTGCCCTGTGCAATACAAACGTGGTTTGATAAGGTGTCTTTTCAACAGACTCGACCGTATTTGTACCAATGACGCCATTGATGATGATGTTAAGTTGTTAAATAAAACGTTAATAGAAAATGGCTATCCTCTGAAATTCATAAATAGATGGAAAGTCCATGGTTCAGCGAGACCTACTGTAGCCTCGGTAGAGAAAAAGCCTGTCTACATCACCTTACCATTCAGAGGTGATTCAAATAGCCTTTTACTGAAACAACGACTTAAATCAGTCATCAATAAAACCTATTGCGCAGCAAAGGTCATCATCAAAGAAAGAACAAGGTGCATGCTTCATTCAAAACCTAAAGTACATGGAAACGATTGCGTCACATCCCACTGTGTTTACCAATTTAAATGTGTGTGTGGTCACACATACATAGGGAGGAGTAATCGTGATCTCAACATTAGGGTGAGTGAACATGTACCCAAATGGCTTCAGAAACAAATACAATCAAGTGACCCAATAAGAGCAGAGGATAAACATCCATCATCCTCTATTGCTAAACATATAATTGAAACAGGTCACAAGATTGATCTAAATTCAGCTTTTGTAGTGCTGTATAAAAGTGTAAAAGGGCGTATACTAAGGTTTATTGAAGCCTTAGCCATACGAAAATTCAAACCCCCTTTATGTGTTCAAAAACAGTTTGTTCTTACCTTAAACCTACCCTGGTAATATTGACTTATTATCCAGAGTGATTAGGTTTGCTTTGTGTTCACATTATTATTATTATTACTCTTATCATTATCCTTATCTCCTCTTACCCCGTTTCCTGTCTAGTTGACCTTTTATTTTTATATATAAATGCTCTTAACAAGTATATGTGTGACCAGATTGTTCGAAATGTATTGCGCTAATATATCACATAGTTCTGATAATCTTCGTCTTCTAATATCATTATCGAAAATTCCATCTGTTCTGAGCACGCACACACACACACACATTTACAGAGATCGTTCAATATATCCAGTTTGTATCATAAACTTACATTAGATAAATAACCTTCATTATTTTCAATAATTGGAAATGAATGAATAGCGACAAGGGAATTTTTTTATAGTGCGTATAACTTCCCATGGTTAAACCTACAAGATATTTAGACTAAATGATCAGTAAGCCATGGATCAGTACCATTTATATTTCATTAGTTATTAGTCTGTTTTTAAGTTATGGAAATCGCTTAATTTAATTTAACATCCTCAGATAAATCAGTAAATAACTTTTAATTAGGAATTATGTCAAAGAAACTGAGTTTTTAAAATAAAGGTTAAAATATAATCGGATATTTTCATTAATAATGAAAGAGTGACACGTTTATAAGCTTAGACAAGATTAAAAATACAGTGGATAAACTTTTTTGGAGACATTTTAAATACATACACTGTATTATTATAAGGGAGCTATTTAAGTCAGAACACAGTTATCACCATGAACAATATACCCCCAAATGTCCTAATACGGCCGAGAATGGGGAGAGTCAACTCTCCCTCTCCAAATCCTCTCACATGGCCACACGTATACAGCCATTCACAGGGAAGTCCTACTCAATGCCTTCTCGTGACATAACTGTTGTTTACGAAATTCAGAAGATGAAAAGCGAATGTTCGGTGATTTAACCGAGTTGGAGTATACGGAAGATTCATCTAGGGAAGTTGGAAAACCCTCATTGCAAACCAATCATGCACAATGGCTCAAGGAACTTGAAACAATAAATGGTGTATAAATCAATCGTTGGTCACCGGCTACCATGAGACGTTGCTCCACGGCCTTGTGGATTAGATCTCTACATCAAAGACTCTGGTAGTGGCCCCCTAATAAAACCACCTATTTCGGTTTGGGCACCAGGGCTGTATTCCAGCCCTAACACCAATTGAATGATTTATGTGACACATATCTGTTTGGTGCCTCCTTGTACCAATGTTTATATGTTTAAATAACTAAATAATAAACGAATGTAAATGTACACACACACACATTAGATAAAGTATATTTACTTACTTGTAAATTTTGTATTTCTACATTTTCATCATTGTAATTCACTTTTATTTGATTAGTTAAATGCTCTGAAAGATCTTTATCATCATTTGGATTAATGGTATTATTATTATTATTAACATTATCAGTAATTATATTTGGATTCTTTTTGTTATATTGATAATTCTATTAGTTTTTAAACATTGACGACGTTCTGAATTACAGTTCAATATGAAAATAATGAAAGAGATAAGTAAATTGATATAATCTAAAATGTTAAGAAAATTCTCTTTGTTTCGTATAGTTGAATGAAGAGGAAGTGTAATAGTAGCAGTATTAGGAATAACAGAGGTATTATTGATTGTTGTGAACAACATCGTAGAATTCTGTAAATGCTGAAAAAGATGAGAAACGATTCGAAATTACATATATATATGGTTAGAAAATATATTGGTAAACAGTTATATTGATGAATATATCATGTATGTATGATACATACACTGAAAGATATTTATGATTGCAGCCGGTTGGTATTGCCCTGTACTATCTCGTGCTACTTTAAACTTATCAACATGGTGTATTTGCAACGTTGAGTGCTTCCCGTGATATGCGGACCCTCATCAACCAGTATCATTAGTTAGAGAAGTTACTATTGAGTCAAATTGACTGTCTGCAGGAACGAAATATTTGCATTGATATGTAATCAATTTAATGTTTACCTATTCTTTCAAGTTGATCTAGTCCCACTAATCAAGCTACAATATTCCCATTAGTTTGATTCACTAGAAAATACGTGTACAGTACCGATGTGATAAACATTTAGTTTTATTTAAAACTACTAATGATAAAATATTGCAGTCAAACATTAACTAACATTACTTTACGTGGTAAATTTACCAAAAATGAAGACTATATTATCATAATTATCTATAATGTACAAATCTATCTTGCACCAACTTATTTCATCACTACTAGCTAGTGATTTTCATTCGAACTGCGAAGATTCATTTTGTAGCCAGTCATTAGGATTGACTGATCTGGTTTAATTCACAACGAAATGGATTTCAACTTGAAGTTGCCACAGGTATTCGGAGTTTGATAACGCCTTAAACAGTAACACCTAATATGAATCGTACCCATCAAGTGAAATCAAAAAACAGAAGCGAGGAGGTTCGAAGATATATTTAGTAGGCCATCAGTATATCGAGAATCGTCTGATCTAATCTGGCTAGCAATTGCAGGGGTTGTTGAGCACGGCGTTCCATTCGTGATCTGGTGCGGATGCATGACCGAGCTCCTTCAGTTAGGTGAGTCCATTAAAACTAATGTGGTCAACATCCAATGTCGAAAACTTACAGAGCTATTTATTTTGGGGATTTATTTACCGCTACAAACTCAATAACTTAAAGTTAACAACACTCTGAACGCGACCTGAAGGTCATGAGTTCGATTCCTGATAGGATGTGTACTATTAAAAATATATGTACTAGGATAAACAGCTGTTAACTTTTTCCTAGTTTTCAGTGATCGTATAGGAAATGTTATTTCGTGATACAAATTAACTTTTACTACTTAGTTCACTAATAATCTGTAGATTGAAGAAGTATGTCGTCGTATAAATATTAAAGTGTGACTGCGTGTATATATATATATATATATATATATATATATATATATATATATATATATCAAGTACTTTCACAAATTTGCACATCATTATCCATGATCATCTGTGTATAGATAACATTAAAAAGGTGATAGGGACAAATTTGGATCCGATTTTTGTATGTATACTTTTACTAAGTTATTTGTTAGCAATATAAATTAACATGATAATTGGCCTCCATATTGATAATTTATGTTACAAAACTGAACTTTACTATTTTATTTTAACACACAGATATTGGTACAATGAGACACCAAATACATATGCGCCACACATATCTCATTTGATATATGTGAGGGCTGTGACAATGCCTGGGTGCCCAAACCGAAGCAGGTGGTTTTGTTAGGAGACCACACCCGGAGCCTTCGACCTGACGGTCTGATCCACAAGGCAGTGGAGCAACGTACGAAGATGCAGTCCCATGAAAGCCAGTGACCAACACTAAGTTCATACGCCATTTGTTCCTTCAGGATACTGGAGCCCATGTGCACCATTGTTTGGAATCAGGGTTTTCCAACTCCCCTAGATGGGCTCTCCATGTCCACCAACTCGGTTAAAGCGCCGGACATTTGCTTTTCGTCCTCTCAATTTCGTAAATAACACCCCCACACGAGAAGGCAGTGAGTAGGACTTCCATGGCAGGGGCTATATACACGTGGCCATGTGAGAGCATTTCGAGAGGGAGAGCGAACTCTCCCCACTCTAGGCCATACCAGGGCATTTGGGGGCTGTTAGCAATATAAATAAACATGATAATTGGCCTTCATATTGATAATTTATGTTACAAAACTGAACAGTGTACAACATTTTTCTATTTTACTATTTCTTAATTAGAACTTATTAGTAGCCTTTAAAAATAAAAGTGGAATTTTTGTATGAAACTGGATTTCATGTTAATTATCATTCATTATCTAGACATATAAACAATTATGAAGAGATTAGTGTTCTTCATGGGATTCGAAAATGCATCTACCAATGGTATGAAGTGATCAGTCCATTCAAACTGTTTCGTTTGAAACATGTCTGTTTGTTTAAACTTGTAGGATATCGATTTCTGAAGCATGAATTTATTATCAGAAGTTTTCTTACTTTACGTTACACTTAATCAACTAAGAGTCTGTCTATCGAGCGTACTTACACCTTATCATAGAATGCTTATAACCTGTCATTGATCAATTTAATGAAAATCTCCAAAAAGAAACACAACAATTCACTTGGTATTGTTTGGCTTGTATCTTCCCATTGAAGTTTAAAACTGCAATTGATCAGTCTGTTATTGGCAGGACGAAACGCGCGTCAAACTGGATTCCACTGCTAGCCACTATCCATCATTGTTTACAAAAAGTTTGTGAATTAACGCAATATCGAGGCATGCACACAGTATACACATATGCCAATAACAGACTGATCAATTACAGTTTTAAACCTCAATGGGAAGATACAAGCCAAGCAATACCAAGTGAATTTAAATTCACCCCATTGCACAAGCAAGTGGCTATCAGGACACAATGGCTGAGTGGATAGCGCGATGGCGTTTGAAGCGAATGGTACTGGTTCGAGTCCAGAGTAAACATTAACTCAGGTACATGCAGCTGGCGAGTCCCAAATAGGACGAAACGCGTGTCCTGGATTCCACTGCTAGCCACTCTCCATCATTGCTTACAAAAATCCCATTTAACTTATTCTAGCTTCTGGATAGTCCAATTTATCCATTCTTCTTGAGTCACGTTTTGACCTTGTTAAATATTCACTTATCAACCCTGACTGTTTTTATATGAGCGTATTTATGTGTACTTCTTATCCTACTCATAACATGTCTGTAGCTTATTTTTGCGTGACTATAAATATTGATTAACGCTTGATTAAATCGAGTTGGCTCATCTGCCACCTCAACCACATGTCATGATTGCTTTGCTCCATTCCCTACGTTTTTCTGGTTGTCTATTCCGATCAACGATTGTAAAAATATACACATTCGAAATCCATTCTCGTATTTTCAAGACTTTTAATTCTGTTTTTCACTAACACGATCTAAGTTAATAATTATATACGAGGATTGACGATATGTATATTTCAATAACATTCGTACGATCTAACTGGAGTCAGATCCCGAGCCACTGAAATCTCAAAGAATTACAAATATCCTTGCATATTCTCAGAATCATATGAAATCCACCCAACGTGTAATATCTGCTTTGAATACAATCTGCATCAGAAGTAAAAAAACAGTTATTGCGACTGAGCTTTCATACCATTTTAGGTTGACTGTACAGATGAACAACAGGCGCATGTTTACTAATTTAAGCGTTCTAAGAACTGAATACGGGTAAATTTCACGAAGTTCTACATAAGATTGAACTTAAACGTCATCATGTTTTTACTTCCGCGCAAAAATCTAGAAGTGAACATGTTCAATGTGACTGGTTCGGTGGTATAGTGTGTCCTACCAAGAATGCCTATACAATTAAGAAATAAAACAAGTGCATTCAAGAGTTACTGAACCAAACTCTGATTCATTTAAACACTTTGTATGATCAAGAATAGTAATGATGATCTATTTTATTAAGTTCTGGGATGTACCAAAAGAGTAAACAAATACTTCATTCCGTATAATCTTCTTTGATTATAAGAATTCCAAATCGGAAGAGAGTAGGCCCCAAAATTTCCTGGTACGGCTCAGAGTGGGGGGAGTCCGCTCTCCCTCTCCAAACGCTCTAACACGGCCACGCGTATATAGACCCTCTGTCAGGGAAGTCCTACTCACTGCCTTCTCGTGGCGGGGGTGTTATTTACGAAATTGAGAGGACGAAAAGCAAATGTCCGGCGCTTTAACCGAGTTGGTGGACATGGAGAGCCCATCTAGGGGAGTTGGAAAACCCTGATTCCAAACCAATGGTGCACATGGGCTCCAGTATCCTGAAGGAACAAATGGCGTATGAACTTAGTGTTGGTCACTGGCTTTCATGGGACTGCATCTTCGTACGTTGCTCCACTGCCTTGTGGATCAGACCGTCAGGTCGAAGGCTCCGGGTGTGGTCTCCTAACAAAACCACCTGCTTCGGTTTGGGCACCCAGGCATTGTCACAGCCCTCACACATATCAAATGAGATATGTGTGGCGCATACGTATTTGGTGTCTCATTGTACCAATATCTATGTGTTAAAATAAAATAAGATAGAACAAACTTATTGGTAAAATCAATTGAGTAGACCATTTTGATTGATAGACTTGATTGTCTGCTGCTAAATTTCATGCTTCAAACTCGCTCAGATTATTTTGGTTTGAATAACTGGGTACTGTTTTTAATTGTTACACACAAGTGGGATTAAATGAGAATGAACAAACGTGTACTTGATCAGCGAGCTGTACTTAACACAAGATTAGATGCTTAAAGTATGACGAATGCCAAAGATTGAACATGTGAACTCATAAAGTCAGCAGAGAATTCTTAAATAAGCTTAACATTCATATACACTATCAATATACCCATACCTACTACATACTCAGATTAGAACCATACATCGAACACAAGTTTACAAATTTAAAATAAGTTAAAACGACCTGCACGTGAAAAATTCATGCATGAAGCTGCTAACCAGTTGGGCAAACCATCAAATACTATAAACTAACGGAATAAATAAAAAAAGACAGTAATTAAAATAGATATTATATATTTCTAACCTTTATGTATTGAACAGTGTGATTCCAGCAACAGCATATCCAAACAAAATTTAACAACAATAAATAGTAAAAGCTTACACCAGAGTTTGGTGTATTTCGTTTGCGTTCATAATGTATAACAATGATAAATGATACCTAAAATATGTTTTCAATGAAAATAAATGTAAATTAAACCAATTCAACGTTTTAAAAAGTTGACATCTTATCATATGAAATACTAGAAAGTGTAATTGCTTAAATTCCAGCAAAATACATTAGTAGTTCAATATAATTATCGCTTTATAAAACCTTTGAGTTCAAGTTCGAAAATGATCAAGTTTTTCACTTGAATGTTACCTACTAAAAGAATCCCAATTCTTGTTTATTTCTAAGTTTTAATGTCTATTACGCTTATAAAAGTTCCTAGTAATGATTTCTAGAATCTATAAATTATTCTATCACAGTGAAATCAAGTAATAATCTGGGTTCAACATGAATTAAAAATATGAAAGATGGATATCAAAGTATAGTTTAACACTATACAATTATCAAGTTAGCCAGATAAGAGAAGTATAATTAGTTGTTAAACTCCAATTCGTCAGCTAAAACGTAGGGACCAGGTACATAGACGCATCGGTCAAAGTTGCCATACCTTATTAACACAAGATGAACACCAGATTCATAAAAGTAGTTAATTTAGAGGTGGTAATATATGAAAGAAAGATTGCTACCTTGACGAAGTGGTCGGGCTTGCTATCGTGATGAAGCAACCGAGCTATACTGGCTGCAACAACCGTTCCTCAAGGTTCTACCATGTCAGACAGGTCGGTTGAAGAGCGGTAAGACTAAAAGCAACAAACCCAAGGTCCGAAGACCAAGTCGTACTGCTGACTGTACAGAGGTGTGACAGCAGTAAGGTGTTTCCTTCAGACAACCAGCATGACAGCGATACTGCCTTCCCACAGGGAGGGGTGGGGTTAGAAAAGGTCGACCCTAAAAATGCACACCTTGCCTTATCTCACAGATATCCGTCTCCGGCGGTAAAGTCTCAACAAGTACGGAGCTAACACAAAAATTACTCATAAAACGGTCGTGTGTGACTGACCTCAAACAGTTGTCCCTTGGGTACTGCGGTCACGCTCTCAGGTTACTAAGACCACCTCTAATACGATTCCTTTTCAGGTACTCCAAAAGAACGTTTCTACGGTGTGGGCAACCGGGAAGTGATAACCGCCCTCATACCTCTAACAGCACTCAAGACCACTGTTAAACTCCAATTACATGTTAAAACATTTTTTTAAAGCTGAATATTATGTAACAATATGTTACGAATGTAATGAGTACTGCATCAAGCACAGGAAACTAGATTTTTAAAATCCATTTACACAAATTGTTATTTGAAAAATTATGGATCAAGTGTATCTGATTTGAAACGGATTATCTGGATACGTTTCTTTCTTAATTTGAAACCAGTAAATAACGTCAACACAAAAAGACTTTCACTACATAATTTTAAAAAGGTAAAGTTCAAAGTAGAAATTAATGGCAAACACTTTTATTAATGTGGTCAATGATTTGATCACTAACATTCTGTCTTTTAGGAACTGAGTTTTGAGTTATAAACTCGCTGTCCGTATTTTTTTTAATAAGCATTAATTGTTTAGTCTTGAATACAGTTATTCTGCTCAACTTAATTAAATCCTATCCGACAGAAAGTAAATAACATTACGTAACTCCATTGTGCTTAGTATAGAAGTTGTAGTGTTAGTAAATAAAGAGACGCCATAGAAATAGGTTATTTCTCACAAACTGAGTGCATACCTTACCAACAATACAATTTTTCACATGTTGGCATCTGGATAATATGCCACGTGGTGTATTATTATTCTTGAAAACACAACTTTCTGATTTAACCTTACTTGAAACAAGATCATTCTTAAATCAATTGTGAGCAATCACATAAACCCTAAAAAATGCTAGTCTTATGAATATACATCCATATTCCTTTACAATGATTACCATTTAGAGATATAAACTAGTTGCCAAAGAGTAGCAAATATCACGATAACCAGTTTTGGAACTCAACATAATTGAACCAATCAAGTCTACAACCGAACTACAACATAAACCAATTCAGTTACAATGATCGATTTTGGTGATAAATGATAGGTTTTACAAGACCATATGTTTTCAAGATCAGCAACCATACCATCGAGACTAGTGCTCCACATTTTGGCAGACTTTAGAAGATTGATAAACATGTACAGCTTATATTCATCCAGTATTTTAGCCCAAAGATAGTAAAGAAACGTTCATATATCAGCAATAAAAATCTCACAATATAATTTCACGAATACTTGTTTATCAAAGGATCGTTTTACAATTAATTGGAGAAATTATAATGCCCACTTTTAAATGTTTACGAAGATTTTGATTGTTATCACTCAGAAAGTAATTGAAAACAATTAAACCCTGCTGACAGCTTTCAAAGTTATGCAGTCGGTTCACGGATTTGCATTTCTTTACGTAGGTTCAAGTCGGCTTGATGTTTACTTCATCTTCAAAAGCCAACAGAATAAGTATCTATGTGTTAGGATTTCTCTTTCAGGAATTCACTAATTACATGATAAACTTGAGTATTTCTCCGCGTTGTTGATGATGATTTATGATTTATACAGGCTGATAATTAATTTTTAATAAATATAGGTCTTTTCGTAATTCGTAAACATCCTGCTTAATACTTATGAAAATTTCGGTCATTTAAAACCGCCTTTCTGTTAAAATTCAACCGCTGTTTGCTACATTGATGATAGTTTTTCTTTCAGGTGAAATACGGAGCACCTATTATGTCTAGATAGAAGCATATTAATATCCTGGCAAACCACCCGAACTATTAATATGTAAAATTTTGATCTAACACCATGGAGTACGGGAGTTAATTCTCATCTATTACTTAAAACTTGAGAATATGGCCCTTTAATATCCTATCATATTAAACAATCACTAACTAAAATTCTGCTTGACACAAATTCTTACTTTTATACTTAACTCTCAAGCGATTTATGTAATTAGAAAGTCCTATTGTAGGAAATACCTAGAAGTTGATGAAGCATTCTGATGAGTTAATTAAAGCTGCTGATTCTGAGGAAATCAATTAACTTGAAAATTGTTCTTAAAGGTTACGTTTCAAGAATTGAATTAAAGATTGTTGGTGAAATAGCTTCACAAATTAACAATATTATTATTAAAGATCATCATATGGATTGAAGCTCCCTTAGCGCCCAGGAGTCTGATATATTGATGTTTGCTTAACCAGTCGTTAGAATTAGATAGACAACGACAATGATATTTTTAGGGATTTATGCAAGAAATCAACTTCGAGAAACGGGATAAAATGAAATAGTCTATCTAACCTTTCTATCTTACAAATGACATCAAGAAACCATAGACATGACTAGTATCATATCTATTAGTGGTGAAGTATTTATTTATCTTAAATTCCCGAGGAATAAACTTTAGGAGGTATGCAGCAAGTAATCGGAAACTTTTTTGTCCTACATCCAAGTTATACATGAAACACAGTATGGTATGTAACGAGAGAAATAAAACTACATTTTTTCAGTAACAATAAGCAACTGATTAAAACTGCTTTCGATAGAATGAGATTGTTTCGGTGAAAATACAGACAAACTCTGTGTTGACACTTTATTACATTAATGATGATGCACGAAAAAATACCACCCATTCATGTTCATGCAAAATTATGGTTAAAAAGAATTATGATCAAGTGCATTAACTGAACATAGTATTTTGCACCAGATAATAAACCTAATTGGTGCACTCACGAGAGAAAATGATATTAATGCAGGTCGAACAAACGAATATAAACCGAATTCTCGCATTTCCAATACGACATACAGGATCCAAACGGCATTAAGAAGAAAGAAATGCAAACGAGACCCTAAGAAAAGTTAGGAAATTAAACCAAACTTCCTTACCGATTTGCTCAAATACAAGCACGAAATCAAACGGCTGTGACTTGACTTTGAAGCTATTAGAATAACAGTATAAGGCAATAGTCCCAAAAGTGTGAAAATAACAAGGAGAAAGGGGAATAGAATTTCGCTCCCGCAATCAGGAATCAAAGGTATACTTTGATTCCATTGATATACCCACTCATTCTAAAACGGTTGTAATCTTCAAAAATCTAACCTACTCTACCACTGTATCCACAAACATAGTCAATAAGAGAACTCATCTCGAAAACATGCAATTGAAACGATTCTCACGAAGGTTACATGCACTCATTAACTAACTGATATATCCAAACAACACACCATAATCGCTTTTCAAATTTGGAAAGTAGACACCAAATGCCTTTGTTAAACTACTTCAGCAACATTCTACCGATTACTATCACATTTTTGTTGTAGTATGAACCAAACAAATGGCTTAGACGGTTGTCGATAGAACAAAAAGAGCTTCAGCTTGTCGTCATTCCGTGTTACATAGCAGCGATTTCCATTGCTTCCAGGCAGGTAACTAAGTATATCATATAGAGAATATATGTCAGCCAATCAGATCCAAATATTTCCTTCATGGCATCGAGTTTGATCCAGAAGAGCCGAGAAGTTCCTTATACCACTATTCCCTGTAACATATTCTAAAAAATTAATACTTTCTTAGTATGCCTCCAATCTCCGATTAGTGGTTATATTGTTCGTGCTAATTCTGAGTTAAATTGATCGATAAAGCTATGTCATTTGTAATAAAACTGTAGTAGCAGTGAATTGTCCTGGGTTTACCCAGATTATCCATAAGTCAAGTCACTGAATAACGAACAGTTTGTCGATCCTCATCAAGGCAATAGACGGCTAACTCTCATTAATTACTTGCACACCATGGATTGACCCATGTGGCAGTGGTGGCTCTCTAATTCATGTACCCACTCCTACCAATATATTTTTGCAATTACATTGTTTGTGTTGTACGGTCACCGAAGGAGTCATCGTACCTGGATACCGTGGAAGGATAGATCACATTTGGTGATGTGTTTCATTGACGTCCAACCTAAGCAGGGCCCCTATGATCTACACAGATCATCTACCTTAGCGATCTACAGGACAAACAAGATATGTTTAATTAGTAGGTAAACCTCAAGCTGATCACTGTCCCTAGTATGAAACCGTCATTGAGGAGACTATTCATGGATCACAGGAACTAGATGTAATTTGTGGTGAACTGAAGCGGAGAAACAAACATTAACTGAAAGGAAGAAGGCTTAAGTGAGAACTGTTGCTTGCTAACTTATTTACGCCTGTTACCTCTCATCGAGGAGCATAGTCCTCTAACCAGCATTCTCCATCCGACAATATCCTGGGCAATCATTTAAAGTTCTTTCCAGTTCCCGTTGATCCTTTTCATTTCTGCTTCCACTTCCCTATTTAGTATGTACTTTGGACTTCCTCTTTTCCGTTTCCCTTCAGGATCCTAGTTAACGCCTGTCTCATAATGCAGTTTGATGATTTCCCGAATGTATATCATATCCACTTTCAATGTCTTTCCTGATTTCCTCTTCAGATGGAACCTGGTTTGCTCTTTACCTCAGAAGGCTGTTTTGGATGGTATCCAGTCAATAGATGTTGAGTATCTTGCATTGACAACTATTTATAAATACTCGCACCTTCTTGATGATGGTCGTAGTAGTTCTCCACGTTTCAGCTCTGTATAGTAGAACTGTCATGACGTTCGTATTGAAGATTCCATATGTTCTTCAGTTTTAGAAATGTCCTTGCTTTGCCAATCCTCACCTTTACGTCTGTTTCAGATCCTCCACGTTCATCGATCATGTTTTCCAGGTACATGAAAGATTCTACCTCTTCCGGAGTTTCTCCATGAAGAGTGATTGTATTGGTTTTCTCCGTGTTGTATTTAAGAATCTTGCTTTTTCCTTTGGGTATGATGAAGCTCACTGATCCAAAGGCTGCTGCTACACTGTACTTCTCCTTAGATGTGGATGTCTTTATAATCTAGTTCACCACCACAGGAAAGAGAAGTGTAATCCGTCGTATGAATTCCGTATAATGTTGGCGATTTTCTCAGGTACACCACAGTGTAGAAGAAGTTTCCATAATGTTCTCCTATCCACACTGTCAAATACTTTCTCATAATCAGGGAAGCTAACGTATAATGACCGACTCTATTCGACTGATTGTTCAACGATGGTCCGCATCGTCACGAATTGGTCTGTTCATGACCGACTCTTGAGAAATCTAGCCCGCTGACTTCAAACTAGGCATCTACTGAATCTTTCACCCGGTTCAACGACACCCTGTTGAAAACCTTTCCTTGTACTGACAGTAGTGTGAGGCATCTGTAGTTCTCACATTTGCTCAGATCTTCTTTCTTTTGAATCTTGATGCGGTTTTCTTCTTTCCAGTCTGTCGGCACTCGCTCTTCCTCTCAAATCTTCCCGAACAGAATGTGGAGCATGTCTGTGGCTAATTTTATGTCTGCATTCACAGCTTCAGTGGGTATATATCAAGTCTGCTCCTTTTCCGCCTTAGTTTGTCTAACGGCCATCCCATGGCCAACTCTGGGAGTGTCTATGTATGCTACATCGATGTTCAGTGGTTTATATGTAGCGTGGCGTCGAGTCGAAATTGACTATGAACACCGCTACCAAGAAACACGTGCCAAGCGAATCAGAAGGCGAGGGTTGGACGTAACCAAATAGATCCATAAAATCCCCGAGAAGCCAAATATCAGAAGACAGTTAATGGACCGAGTCGAGGTTTATTAGCTGGCGATCTCGTGGCATCGAAAGGATACCGAGATCGTGCCAGGATACAACCTTGGTCACAGAACGTAACCGAATTCGCGCGAAGTTACAATCAAAGTGTAAGTAAAAAGAATGGAAGCAAAATATAGCTGTCATTAGCACAGTCAAACAAAAGCACATTAAAACAAGCACTGGTACAGTTGGTTATAATAATAATTGTTTCTATTAAACCAGTCGTGTTCTCGTGATAAATGTGAGTCACTACATATTCAATAGTTCCTCAAAGTACTCTACCTATCTGCCCCTCTGTTCTTGAATCTCAGTGATTAGCTTCCATTCCTCTTCCTTGACCGATCTCTCTGTTTTACTTCATTTTCCTATCACTTTCTTCGTTGTTTCAGTATAGTTGTCTGATATTTCCCTCTCTTGAAGCTTTTTCCGCTGTCTTCGTTAGATCTTTCACCTATTTCACCTTGTAAGATTTAATGCGCTTCTAAACTTGCTTGTTTGCTTCTATGTGCTCAGCTTGTGCTTGGAATTTCTCTGCTCGTGTTCGGCTGTTGTTAATTGCTGCCTTCTTGTTCTTCCTTTCTTTTATCTTGTCCAGAGATTCCATAAAGATCCTATTCCTTATGGTGATGCTTCTTGAGGCCCCGAACAACCTGACACGTTGAAGTTAATGCTTCTTTGATATCTTTCCAGTTGTCTTCTTTGCTAGTTCCTTCTTTCAGTAGATCCTGTAAGGCTTGGAACTTGTTGTTGAGAGTTATCTTGAATTCGTTGAGTTTGTTAGTATCTCGAAGGAAGGCTTTATCGAACCTTTGTAATGCTGTTTCTCCAGTTTTCTGGTGCTTCTTTAGCTTCGATTTCATCCTGACCACAACCAGGTGGTTATCTGAAGTTGTCAGCTCCTCTCCTGATTCTCACATCTTCCACCGTCCTTCTGAATGTTTTAGTGTTCCATATATGATCGATCTGGTTCTCTGTAGTGTGGTCCGGTGAGTCTCGTTCATCTTTTTGTACGCGTTTGCGTGGGAATATTGTACAGCCTACAACTAGTTTGTTGAATGCACATAGGTTTGCAAATCTCTCCTCATTTTTGTTTATCTCCCCCAGTCAATGTCGTCCCATGTTATCTTCATACCCGGTGTTGTCCATTCGGACTTGGAGTTTAGGTCTCCATCAGGATAGTGAGATCCCTTCTTGGGCACTTCACTACGATTGATTACAGCCTCTCATAGAACTGATCTTTATCATCGTCATTGCTATCATTGATGTGTGTATAACATTGGATAAGATTAATCGTAATTCCCTCCTTCTTTGTTTCAAAGGGTGCTTTATTGATCCTGGATCAATTAGATTCCCATCCTATAAGTGCATTTCGTGCTTGTTTAGACGGTACCAGAGTAACTCCCTTCGTGTGTGGAGCATTTTTCTCTTCGTGACCGGAGAACAGCAGCATACAGCCTTTGCTGTCCAGCTTTGGTCCAATTGTTTTCGCCGATTTCAAGTGCCGTCAAGTCGTATCTCCTTATTTACGTTGCTATTCGACTTGTCCTCCCGGTTTTTCACATTGTCTGGAAGTTCCATGTACCTATAAGAATTGTTAATCTGGTTGTTAGAAGAGGCATCGGCCTCGTGGTTTTCAAAGAACTTCGGTTTCCATTCCTAAGGCATCATAATTCTTCCTTTACCTCTCAGGACAGAGGTTAGCTTGTTTAATCTGATTGGTTTTTTAAGCAAGATTTTTTCTACGTCATGGGGTTGCAAACATCATGCCCAACCCTCCTTCTTTGGTTTTGCCTGGGATGAGCAGTAAGTCTAAAAGAGCTACAGGTGGAGTTGAGTGCCGAGCATGATGACTGCTAAATAGTTTGAGAGAATAACAGGAACGTAAAGACGCCAGCATTGTTTGGAGTTTCACATTGCTTCAACCCGTAACACTTCTATAGTAGAAAGATCCTAGATTCGACCAAACCTGAATTCAAAAATGAAGGAGCTCAATGACATAAAGTTGGAAAGTTGTTGATGTGCTGTGGAGTGTTTTATCTGGTTGCTACGGGAATGCGTGGCATGGAGTACCCGACCGCGATACCGTGGGTATGTGTTACCCAGCCCCTT